TAAACTGTATTTTTTTTTTTTTTGACTTGCAGATAAATTTGAACTTCCAAAACAGTTTCCAGTCGCCTAATTCTTGTGAAATTCAATATGTTCTTCTAAGCTTTGTTATTGAAATGATAAAAGTATAAGCCAATAAGATCTAGTACAATCTCAGTCTATCTCTGAGTGTTTTTGAGTATTTGCAGATTTAGTGAAGTTATTTTCTTTGCTCCTTGTATTAGTATCTCCTCTTTTCTCCATATATCCAACTTCTTGACCGTTGCAGATCATAAATGCTCTTCCTAGGGAATTTAAAGTCTTCATGCTAGTCTGCAGCTTCTTGTACTCCTAATTTATCTCCTTGTTGGGACTCCACTTTGGTTATGAGACGTAGAAGGTGTTTGGCTAAGCTTATAAGCTGGTCAAACTGGCTTATAAGCTGGTCAAACTGGCTTATAAGCACTTTTTGGCTTATCTACGTGTTTGGTAAATACCCAAAGTACTTATAAGCCAGGTGCGTATAAGCTAAAATTAGCCATAAGTCATAAGCTGGTCACCCCCAACTTTATAAACACTTTTAGTTTGACCAAGGCTTCTACTAGTTTATCCTTAATAATATTTTCTAATTCACAAAATATTTTTCCCAAAATAAATTTTCTAACTTTCTTTTCATTTCATATTCGTTTTTCATTTTTTTCTTTACAAAGAAATTTTTTAATTTATAATCTTTTGTAAAGTTTTTAAGGATATTTTAGTCATTTTAATAAAAGAACAACTTATTAACACTTTTCTACCAAACACATCAACCATTTATTATCAGTTTCAGCACGTCTATCTAAATACGTAAATGCTGATTTGAAAAATCAGCTTCAGCACTTAAAAATGTGCTTTTCAACACATCAAGCTTATCAACTATTTACAATCAGCTAATCCAAACGGGCTCGTAGTCATTCAATTATTCTCCTTTTGTTGGAACTTCACGCTTGCTCATCAAATGCATCAGCTTTCTTGAATTTCTTCTGAATTTTACTGCTTTTCTTTCTTTGGCAACTTTATTAATGAGTTTGAAAGGGTCTTGCGTTGATCTTATTCGGATTATCGCGTTTTGTCTCCATTTAGAGCAACATTTGATTCAACTTCTTTGTGTCATTTGATCTAGTCGTCTTCGTCGTATATTGTTGTCCTGCTAAGACAGATTACAAACTCTTAGCAGATTCTTTTACTCCGTCAATTTTTTCATCATTAAAATAATTCTTAGGGCCAGCAGTGGGGAATGAAATTTGTTTCAGAACCTTTGGTTTTAACGGCGGGTGCCTTTACCATTCAGCAAACCTCATATAAACATCTCTTCCCAAACACCTTTTGCTTTGATTTTTTTTATTTTTAAGTTCTTCCTTCTCTTAATCTTGTTCGAAGGAATGCAGCTTTACATATTTCTTTGAATACTGAGGCTTTCTTCTTCAGATAGTGGACTTCTGCTGTGGCTCCAATGACTTTAGCTGCTTGATGAAAGAAGAACTAGACAGAATGGGGAAAAAATGCCAATTCAGAAATTTTGATCTCATACAACCAAAGGTAAATTATTTTATAATCATCATATCAGCTTCCTTCATGAGTTTTATGGTTGTTAAATCTGAATTACAGGTGAACCAGATTACCACTGGGAATTCTATTTTTTGGTAAAAGGGGTAGTAAATTATTGAGTTCTTTCTAATTTTCCTCTTGCAGCAACTCTTCTTGAGTAGGCCCTTCCTGTTACAACTAGCTAGTCTTTTTTACTCCAGTCAAACGATACTTGTGATTTGTTCGTCAACCAAATGCTTACAATATAAAACTCGATAACCAGCATGTGTGTTATTGTGCAAATAAAATCCACTGTGATGGCTTGTAATTAGAAGAAATATGAAAAGGAATGTAAATATGCATTATGTTTTTTTTAAATCATGTGTAGTTGAGGGATGAGTTTTTCTTTAAGGGCATGGTGAAGTTTATAAGTGTGAAAATATTATTTAGCTTCAGTCCATGTTGTCAGGCACGAGATAGGTTGAAGAGACGATCCTCCAATGTCACTTGGAAAATGGCTCGTAGACAAGAGATATCACCAATGTAGCAAGTTGTTTCTACTATTGGACAAAGGCCATCCTTGTCAATTAAGTTTGTAGCTGTTGGGAATAAACCCCTTACCAAAATAATATTCACGGTAATAAAGCGGAATAATAATGT